GTCTCCCTCAGCCCATATCTATATAAATAAAGCGCAGTGTACGTGTGTCCGTCCGATCGTCCGTTCGTTTTTTTAATCTCAGTGAATCATAAACAACCTGAAGTAACAGGTAAAACTGCTGCAGTTACACGCGATTAAAGATTAAATAAATAAATCATTTACAGTTAAATTTAAATATCCAACAGAGTGAACAGTTTAAAAAAACAATTATTTATTAAAGGTTTAACTTTAATTTTGCCTTTCGTCTCAATTTCAATTAATATCCTTTAATTAAACCGTAATTAAAATTTAAACGGGGCACGGTACGTTGCTCATATTGTGTTTTTTTTTTCTGGCATGCATACTGTGGCGTATTCGAAACTAGCAGCCATGCCCAGCTGATCGATCAGAAAAAGCGTTCAATTAGAATGGAGCAAAAACAGAATCATGTTTAGATGTAACAGAGTCTATCTTCTTCAATTACTTTAAAGTACTTTCAATAAAAACATTTTGAATTAATGCAGTTACTGATATAACAGAAGTAGTTTGTATTTATTCAATCGAAGTAAATGAAGATGTAAAACAGGCAACATGAAGACCCACTTCAGACCACAATTATTTTGAAGTTTTTGAAATTCAATTTGTAAGTGTGCTACTAGGGATGTAAAAAAAGGATACATTTATAATGCAATTGTTAAGTTTAATAAAAATTGGTTGAAAGATCAACGAAAAATAAGAAAGAAACCAGTAAAAATCGCAATTTTTCGCTATTTACGTGGGTTTTCACTATATGGGTGGATTCAATTATCAAGTTAAATGACCGCTAAACAATCAACTTATTGCTGACTACAATTGAGTGAAGTTTGTATTAGATTGCTTGAAAATTGAGGGAGTTTTTAGTTTAAAATTTGTTTCGAAATCAATTTGTGCTGAAATGGATTTTTCGTTTTTCGCTGTTTTTCGCTAAACGCAATGGCGTAGAAATAAAAATGAGGTAGCGTTGAGGTCGTCAGGATGTAACAAAGCTACACACCGAGTTTGAACGAAATCGGAGGAAAAAAGCTGAATTTATCGATTTTTGATCGGTTTTATTGATTATTGATTTTTTAAAAAATTATTGATTTTTTTTTAAATTATCGATTTTTTAAGCTAAGAACCTATCTCTTACATGTGTTTGCCAAGTTTGGTCAAAATCGGTTGGATGGATCTCGAATGAAAAGGCATCACACAGACAGACAAACAGACAGACACACAGACATCTTCTGTTTTATATATATAGATATTACATAATTAGGCTTCCCTAATGTCTTTTAAGAGCATCTTTATGTGGAGGGATCATAAAGAACGGTGAATTCAAAAGAAAAGAGAAATTGTGTGCAAAATAAATAAAAACAATATATCGGTTGCCTAGACAAAGAATGTCGAATTAAGGTGTCGAATAAAAATAAAATAATTTTATTATTTGTAAATTCTTATAACATTTACGTACATAAGACGCTGAAATTAAAAGGCCGAAGGCGCAAAAGTCCTCCGCATGAGTTCGCCTAATGTCCGCCCGAAGAACCGCTTTTAGGTTAGTATTAAATAAAATATTCATTAAATAAAATATTCATTAAAACAAATTGCAAAAAGACCAAAATATCACCGCTACTCATATAGGGTTGGTTAAAAAGAATGTGCTTTAACAAAATGCATATTTTTGGTATAATACAAAGACAGATCGAGAACTATTTAATAGGTGTTTAACAATCGCAGATCCAGATAGTCAGAGTCATGATGATATTTGAAATTGTAGATAACTAATTTGACGAGGAGTCAGAACATATTTATGAATTTTTCATAACATTGGTCGGACATTAAATACAATACAAGGATTGGTATAAAAAGAACAATGTACACCCCCCCACACACACACTAGTAATGTCGCATCATCACCAAGCAGACCCTGAATTTTCGCTTATTCCGATGAACGGAAAGGAATTCTTGGGATTTAAGCTGAACCCAGATCTCAAGTGGAACTCGTACATACGATCTATAACTAAAGATACTGGATAAATGTTCGTTTCCCTATACCGCTCCAGCAAGTACCTGACTCCTCCTGCTATCATTTAATTTTACAAGAGTCAGGTCAGACCAGAAATGGAGTACTGCTGCCATATATGGAAAGGAGCTGCCAAGTCTGCATTTTCCACAAGTGACAGAGTCCAAAAATGTCTTTATGTTTGATGAATTGTTTTCCACCCTACTTTTCTCACAGTCACGACGTGGCAAGCCTCTTACTACTCTATCGCTATTTTCATGGAAAGTGTTCAGACGAACTGTATTCATTAGTGCCACCAGTCCTAACATTCACCGTTAAGACCAGCCATTCTATGCACATTGTAGCGAACCATTCCTCATTCTGGTCGTAATCCATTTGTGAGATATAATTTCCACTCGAGCAGTTTCTTCCTACGAACCGCTGTTTTGTGAAACCGACCCCTAAGAGGTTGTTTCCCCGATCACTACAATCTCCTAACCTGTTCAAGTCTAGGGTTAACCGTTATCTTCCTGATATATGACCATAAACTGTGCCTCTTACTCTGTAACCCTCTACCTCGAGTCGCTGGTTCGACTTTTGCAGAGTGAACATTTAAACAAAAAAAAAAAACAAAAAAACATACTGTCCGGGAACTGATTGGCAAATCTCGTACTAACATAAACACTCCACAATATACAATGGATATTTTTAAAATATAATATTGCTTTTCTTGATAATATTAAATGACTTATTTCAATTTGACAACAAAGAAAATTGTATCGTAAGCGAATGCCTGGGAGGAATGATTAGAAAATATCATTTTTTATTTGCACGTTTGTACAAAATGTGGCACAAGGCCTAAAAGGGGGTTGGGGAAGGACGGTCTTCTTCTGTCTTAATTCTAAACTTAGCTAGTTCCAGGCACGGACCCAAACATACCAACAATATTTCTATCACCAAAACAACACATTCACTCCTACCTTTCTTACTGCGTCCACCATAATACCTCAAATTCTCTATGAAATCCTAACTAGACCCCATATGTACATTTCAAAGTCTGTGGGGGGAGGGGAAAACAACAATTTAAAAAACCCCAATGATTATTTACAATATGATTTAATACTATTTACATAAAACAAAATATGGTTAGTAATAAAAAAAACCCACAATCCCTAAATGTGGCAGAAACATCAGTTAACTGGACGAAATAATTGCGGGATTATAACATCATAAAAAACAAACACGCCCACAAACACGCACTCATTTAGACACCATAACAACTACGAAAACACACACATGAAACGAAAGTCATCCCGCAACAACCAGAGAACTGATATCACTGACTACCTAACGAGGGAGGGGATGGGGAATTAAACAAAATAAAAATAGGGACAGAAATAAAAGGGGCCAATGAGCATGCATACCCTAGCTAAGTAAACCAGAAAACGGGAAACTAAAGATTCAAACTAAAAAGCCTAAACTAGCCTAATATCGGGGCGGGTTGCCTCTGTTCAACCCTGATAAGACAAAATCCTGTACCTAACCGACATCCAAGTGCCACTCCAGGTCAGCCCCTTTCACTCTACACATTCGCGCAAGATTTACCCACCTTTTGCCGAATTCTGATGAAGAGAGTCGCCGCCTTTCCGTCCTAATCTTGACTTTAAGCAGATGCCTAAAGTACAAGGTCAGTTGGGAAGAGGTGAACTTCTCACCTCCATAGAATCCTTCACGACTCTCATAACTCCTAAGAAGCAGTGGAACACATAAAGTTCAGCCTTCGTCAACGGCGGTGCCACATTACTACAAACAGAAGTGGCCTCAAGGACAAAGAACTTTCCGTGCAACATGTGAATCATGAGGCCTTCAACAAACTTACACAACGGAGCTACCAACTTGCACTGAAAGAAGACGTGACCTAGGGTCTCGACTTCCACACTACAACGTCGGCAGTTTGGATATTTCTCCAAGCCCGCTGCACAAAGCTTTTTGGCGACCCAGAGGGCCCCACGCATCACCAACCAGGTGAGGGATGCCTCATCGTTATTGAGACATTTTAACACGGGATCCCAAGGCCAGATCGAGCGAACCTCCTGCATGATTAGAAAATATCATTCAGTCTGCAGGCTTGACTTTTATTTATAGTAAGTCAAAGCAGATATGAGAGCGGGCAAAATAATTCCAATTGCGAACATAGTCTCATGTACACAACTCTCGTCGACTACGAGAGCTCATAACAAAAAATAGCCGCCACTATAGATGTTGAATGAGTCAGGTAAAATGTAAAATCAACCAAAGTTTAAACAGAAAGTGCAAATAGCCTCTGCAAACCCCTTTGAGGATATTTATTATATTACAAAGCAAAATCAATATCGTCCCAACTGATGTAGAAAATATATTTACGGCTTATCAACCTTTTTCAGGTTATTTAGAACCAAAAATACTTATAGATTGTAAGAAGATTTTTGAGAGTATAATGATTTTCGCCTCTACAAGTTCTACTAATTAACCCATAGCTGGGGGAAAGGTGGATTCATACCTTTCTCAAAGGTATTTGCACCTAAGTGAATATGACGAACACTCACTGGAATTGGAACGTGTCTCCGATTTCCAAATCCGAAGCTTTATCCATTACACCATCCAAGTTTATGGTAATCGTACGTGAACCTGTGCTTCAACGTAATATAGTAATAAAGTCATTATACCACGAGCGCATCTAAGAGTACAGCACATGGTATTTTCAAGCAGTCACTCCTCTAGGTCACCCAATATCGACGTTGCTTAACTTCGATGATCGTAAGAGAACTAGTGTTTCAACGGTCGTAAACCCATTATTCCACTGGCACATCAAAACTTACAGTACCTGGCATTCCAAAGCTCTCATCTATCTTGGTACTGACCAGATTCGACGTTGCTTAACTTCGGTGATCGTATGGAAACCAGTGTTTCAATATATTTCATTATATGTCCGTAAGCCCTTTATGCGACGCGCAGGTCCAAGCTTACAGCAGCTGGTACTTCCAAGCGGTCATCCATCTTGGTACTGACCAGGCTCGACGTTGCTTAACTTTGGCGATCGTGCGAGAAACGGTGCTTCAACGGGATATGGCCGTAAGCCAAGAGAATGTAATGAACGGACGACATCGTATTATTGTAAGACAGTTGTAATGAGAATTTCCTTTCCAAATAAATAGAATCATTTCATTTGAAGGCGTGCTGTAGCCCCGCAAGCTGTATTCGCTTATTGCAAGAATTGAATCAGTTGAACAGAAAATCCCCTCAAAAACCAAGAACTGTTTCCATTGAAACATCTGAGCAGACATTGCTACGAGGCCGTGATCAGGGCAAAAATAAATAGGGAATTATCTAATGTTTACCTACTGCTCGTGTCACGTGACCAGCTAGCAGAAACTGCATTTTGTTCACGCATGCGTCAACATCTTTCAGCCTTATTTACCTTCTTACTTTGTCAGAGGCGATAGCGGTGAGAGTGGGTTGGGCTTGATAAAAGGCTGTAGGATCAATATTCGGTCCTAATTCCGCGCTGTCGGGGGACTGGCGCCGGGGCGACATCATGGAGATTTGAATTTGCCGCACTCACCACAGATGAAGTATGAGATTTGAGAAAATATTACCCGATAATCTGCAGCATTCCCGAATAATGAAAACATGAAAGATGGGTTCGAAATTGTGGCCAGAAGTTGGTAGGTTTGGGTGTGTGGTGCTTAGAGAGTTGTATCTTAAGCACTGTTCTTTCTATATTGCTGGTAAGGAGATGCAGGCCTTGGAGACGTGTGAGTCATCCCCACATGGCTGGTCGCCGGAGTCGTTCGACGTGAGCCAGATTTTAAGTAGGTACGGGCGGGGAAATGTGGACTCGAATCTATGGCATTATGAAATAGTGCTTGCACGTGACCGACATTAAGAATATAGGAGAGAATATCTAGGTAGGTAGATGAAGATAGAAAGAAAAAGAAAGAATTTTGATAGTTACGAACAAGCTGAGAAAGAAAGAAAGAAAGAAAAGGAAAGAAAGAGATTGATAGATATGGACAGGCTGAGGAAGAAAGAGAGAAAAAGAAAGTGGTTGGTATAGTTAGGAACAGACTGAGAAAGAAAGAAAACTGAAAAAGAAAGAGAGATAGATACATAGATGGATATCCGAATAATATATGCACATATACGCATATATATATATATATATATATATATATATATATATATATATATATATATATTTTACCCCAAGTAAGGTGATAAAGCCGCTAAGATGCAAGTGGGGGGGATGAAAGTGAAGTAATCTATGAAATCTATGAAAAGACTGCTGAGGAGAAAGGACAATAAACACAACAGGATTCAGTGACAGATGACACTTGCTGTTGCATTTACATCTTTGAAGGTCGTAGTTCACAGGAAAGCAAGAAGCTAGAATATATATATAAAGTAAAAACCTACAACAGGCCTGCTAAACGGAATTAAGCATATACAAACAGTATCGTGACCATGGACGTAAGATCTCTTTATTCAAACATCAAACACAACGAATGACTAACCGCCCTTAAAAAGCACTTATTAAAACAAGAACCCCCCCCATCACCACACAGAAGTAATCGTAAAACACATCCTCACATTGAATAGTTTTGATTTCAATGGAAGACGCTACTTACAAGTAAAAGGATGTTCCATGGCACCATAGCAGATCCATTCTGTGACTGGATCTTTATGGACAAATGTGTGAAGACCCACATTTATCCTTTTATCGGTAATAATTGCATGTTCTATGCAAGATATATCGATGATATATTCTTCATATACACGGGCAATGAGGAAAAACTTACTGAATTCCTTATGGCCCGAAACACAGTACACGGTTCCATTAAGTTCGACCACAAAAATCATCACGAACGGTAAAACTTCTAGACACCCGTATCTACATTGATAAAAACAGAAAATTACAAACGACACTAAAATCACTGACATCCGCAACTATCTATACTTTAAGTCCTTCCACCCAAACACCTCAAAGAGAACCTTTCCTATTCACAAGCACTTTGAAGCATATATTCCAACAATGAAGAACGAACTAAACGCTAAATAATCCCGAACAGCAATTCACAACACGTGGCTATAAACAACAGTTAATCAGGGAACAAATAAATAAATCAATTCTCACACCGAGAGAAGACAACCTAAAGTATAAAATTGAAAATAAATTCAAACGCATGCCCACCCCCCTCGTAACCACTTTCAATATTTGCTCGAGCTCTAAGATCTTAAATAATCAAAAGTCGGTGCGTCTCAAACCAAACCTAAAAACTTTGAGAAACCTGACATTTTAGCAGATCTTAGACCAAAGAACCTTAAGAAAATCATAGGTGCTAACTAAATTTCCGACGACAAAGTAACACAGAATAAACCAAAATTAACAACAGGATTTTCTCAACCATCTAACAAAAAATGAGCCTATGTTCTAATGAAATTAAACACACCAATTCATTCACTAGCTCAGTCACTAAGACAACTTCCAAAATATACCGTAACTTTAACTGTAGAAGTCATAACATAATATACTTTTATTAGAATGCACACTATGCCAGAAACAACATGTGGGAAAATCGGAATGGTCCTTTCACAACAGAATTAATAATTATCGGAATTGGGTCAAGTCGGCTCCCCATGAAAGATTATTACTTGTAGAACAACATTTCCGCCTATAAAAACATGATTTCAATAGCCATACAAAATTCACTATTATTGAAAGAATAGAAATAGACAAAAAGATAAAGTTACGAAAATAAAAGAACATAAAGACAAATGGATTTTGTGCCTCAAAACATTTTGTTTAGACGGATTCAACAGCAAAATAAATAGCACAGATAGGAATAATATATAACCCCATAGATGACCCACCCCATATTTCTCTCTCATACATTATAAGTTCTGTATAGTTGTATATACACTATTGCTACTACATAGAAGATGACACCACTCATGAAGGGCCCAAACTAACTGACACAAACAGACATGCTCAAAGAAATACACACACACACACACACACACACACACACACAAATATATGCACATACATACACTATACACATTCCCCCCGCCTCAAATTAAAAGATAACAAGCACATAACACACAAATTCTCAATAAAGCTGGTAAAATGAATACAGAGGTACATCTGAGAGTTATGGGTCTCCTGAACATCTTCTTAAAAATCAATTTCAAAAATATCTTCGACTAATCTCATAAGTGACCAAAAATGAACTAATTAAAACATAGGAAAATTCAGACTAAGTTCAACTTCCTCAAAGACTGTCATTCACTCTTGTAGTTCATTGCTACTGCAACTAACAAGAATTTTTTTCTCAGGATGGTGCTGGTCAAAACTAGCCGAGGAACGTAAATAAAAAATAAAATAAAAATATTAATATACAACCCAGTGTGCCTGAAATTTTAATTTTTATTCTTTCAAGACACACACACACACACACACACACACACATATATATATATATATTGTCATCCACAGACAGACTGTTTCACAGTAATATATATATATATAAGCTAAATTGGTATAACCCGTCAGCTATATGACGGTTCCGTGTAGGGCATAGTTTCGATTCCTGTCGGAGGACGCATACTTGTTTTTATGAAAATTTCTCGGACATTCAAGTCGGTAAATGTTGTTAATACTGTTTATTATAAATAGGGCATTTACTTAAATATTTGTATCTATAAAAATAACGTATAAACAGAAGATAACTTAAAATATGTATATATTATTTTTTATTTCATTACTTATACTCGGGCGGTGTGAAAAAACCCAGATAATACAATTTGTAAATAAAAAAAATATTAGACAAACTATCGTTTTTTGACTATAAGTACCAGTTTTCTTGTAGTTCCTATATTCTTTAGAACTTCCTCACCTGTCACATGTTCTATACATGATATTCTAAAAGTTTCTATCGCTTCAAGTCTCTTCTGAGCTCTCTTTCTTCATTGTGTGCTCTCAAGCGTTCAATTATCTTTTTTCAGTTTCTATAAGTGTACGTTTTTATTCCAGAATCGAGATTAGATATTATATAGCAGTTCAGCACTATTTTCTTGGTTTCAAACGACATTTTCCTATTACATCAAGGCTTACGGCTATATCACGTTGAAATACCGATTCCCGTAAGATCCCGTAAGCGACGTCGAACCTGGGTGACCACTTGGGAATACCTGTTGCTGGATGTGCAGTTGGTTTATTAAATAATGGATTGGAATTGTTAATCGGATACCCGAGTTCCAATTCCAGTTGGGTTCGTTATATTCACTTACACGCAAATAAACTTGGAAAAGATATGAATCCACCTGTTCTCGACCAGCAATGGGTTAATTAGTAAGATCTGTATCACTGAAAAACAATATCTAAAAAAAAAAAAAATATGGGTACAGAATATTTAGATTTCGGTATTAAATAACCCGCAGAGATTGACATGCCGATAAACTAACGCACCCTCCCCTAGAAAAAAAAATCAAATATTAACCAAACCATTACTTCATACTTTGCTTACATTCTGGAAGGCATCTTTCACTATTCTTATGCTGGTTTAGATTTCTGTAATACATTTTTCTGTCGTCTGTTTCTCACTGAAATGTAAATACATAAAGCATTTTATTTGTTTTGTATCTGATTGACCTATTTCCTTTTCTCGCCTACGGTAATTTTGACCCCCAAAGATTTTATATCTATATATCCAGCGAATCGATTAATGTAGGTAATAAAAGGCAAAACATATACGAACCTCCTCTAGGGAGGAAGTAAAAAAAAAATAGATAAATAAATAAACGATCAAGCAAGCAAACAGAACAAATAAAATTCAAACAAAAGCTGACGACATCAAGGGGAGACAATTTCACATTATGTCTAATGAAGCGTTTCCCAGATATTATCAGGTGTTGCCACCAAAGGAATAAAAAACAGGAACTCATGGAAACCAAGTATATACCACTTTATACTCCGCACAGTTCTGAGTAATTAGTCAGGAGGGAGAAGTAGAGTCCGGAAAGACTGAAACAGGACTAAGTAATAAAACTATCAGAACGTAAGCGACCGTTTTAGCT